TAATAATAACTATATTACTATACCTCTAAATATTAATTAGCAGTGTTTAAGCTCTCATGAGCCAAATCCTAATAAAAGCTGAATTTTGCTAAATATTTTCATTCAAAATTAGCCAAAAAGCTAATGGAATTAAAGCTTAATTCTTTATAATCTTTTGTTTTTGGCTAATCAAATTTTTATTTGGCTAATTATTTTCTTACTGAATTAGCCAAACTGCTAAATATTAAACTCAAACTCTGAATTAGGTAATAACATTTTATTGCCCAATTCCACCCAGTGGTAAAGGGGTGCTGCAGTTTCTACTACTTCCCGGCATGTGGCAAATTTATGCGTACGCGGAGAAACTACTATACAAAATTGACTACTGCACCCATGCCTATGTGAACAGTATGCAGATTGCTTAATTTTACCCTCACAAATCAAAAGAGCTAATTATGTTGACGAACAGTTTGCTAAGTAGTTAAGTTACACGAGAACAAATACAACAGTCCACATGGTTTTATTTCAGTGAAGTAGTGAATTCTATTTTTCCCTCGTTGTTGGTTGATTAAGAGTATTGTACCTCCTGATGCGAACTAATGTAAGGGAGATAGTCACAATCATAGGTAACCTTGGGAAGCAGAACACACTATACTTCAACTTAAACCATGTTGTATATTGTGTAATTCAGGAACTATTAAACGGTTTAAAAAGCATACATAAAATTGTCTAGAGCTTGTTATTTACCAACTACATCACACGTACAGGAAGTACTATATTAACTAAACCTGCTTGTCCATCATCAAAAGTTTTTCTTGTGCGAAGCAAAAATTGTTCACCATATGAATGAATAACTTGTTACCAGCAATAGGCCATTTACATTATTATGACCATGAAACGTTTAATATTGTGGGATATCCAGGGTTTCAGCTTTTGTAAATATAAAATTTCATATATGGTAGGCTTATAGCAGTATCTGAAAATAACTTTTAAGCAATTGCGAAAACTTCTGGGCAGACGATAGGCACATTGTGATGAATAAAAATAAACTACTGTAAACTACATATCTCTAATTAAATAGAAAATAATTCTATTTAATGATAAAAATATAGCACATGCAATGCATTTACTATGAAAGTATTCTTGGGAGAAAGCCAACATGTTTTAGGTTACAACTTTATAACGCTGGCTAGCATTGATATGTGGTACAGTATCAAAACTTTGGCTCATCTCCAAAAACATTTAACAATGCTTAAGCAAGATGTTTTTTTTACCTTGTTTCATCATGGAGGTATTCATAAACTTATTTTTTTAAAGATCATCAGAGGAGGGTGAAAAAAAAAAAAATAACATTTTGTTTTCTTATTTAGGGAATAGTTTTGCCAAAGACATCCAGATGGAGGAGAAAATAAAAATAAAATTTTATTGGTGAATGTAAACTATTTAGTTAATGGGATGGTTAAATGCTTTAAATTTATATAATTAGGAAGATATATACTTATCTTACTTTTGCAGATTTCAAGGCAGCGACAGGCATAATAAAAATAAAGAAAAACTTTTATTTTTTCCTAAAATTTTCATTTTTTTACGGCAGCAAAAATAAAACTGTATTTTTTTTTTCGAATTTATCACAATTGGCAGGTTCACTAAACAATATAATAAGTCTCGCCTTACGAAGTTCCTAAAAAATGAATTTATGTTTTGAATTACATTGTTACTCTAAATTAATACCTTATTATTACTCTAAAAGTGTTAGCATTGTTTTTTCCTCCCAATTGGTCAAGCGGGGCTTTTAGAGGAGGACAATGTGTACAACATTATCAAAATTCTGTACACCCTACAGTATGTCAAAAATACCAAAGCAAAAGAAGCTTAACCCTGTATGCCATTCGGCACTACAAACAAGCCTATATCATTGGATGCATGACAAAGTTTATACTTTAATTTTATTTAATCAATGATACTAACAGTAATCAGTAATAATGCGGAAAGAATAGGAAGACTATCATCATATAGCAGAAGTATTGAAGTTTAGCTGTAAGGATCATCTAGATCATGATTTCATGTCCTTACACAGTATAGGTA